GTTCTAGTAATAATAGATTTCTATCCAATATGTATCAATATTTTACAACAAAAAAATCTGGTATGACTTTATAGCTTCAAAAAACATGCCATGACAATTCTGAGCTTGATTGAAATAGAGTAGCCAACATGTGTATTCCAACATTCTTAAATAACCCATCTACTGTTGTAACACGTTTTCATATTGTATATCAATATGTACCTAAGAGCAGGGCAGTTGTTGGCCAGAATGACCAGCTTAGCTTTTCCCTGGCGGATCATCTTCTGGGACTGCTTGTAGCCCAGCACGTATTTTCCACTCTTCATCACCAGCTGGAGACGAGAGTTTATGGACTCCATGGACTTTTTCTGAATAGAAATAAGAAACAAGTCAACGAAGTGGCAATACCGTAGGAATAACAAAATAAGATCCAAAGCTAATGCTAATGGCACGAGAAGATCATACCATCTCTATGTAAAAGTAGGGCTTTCGTTAGATTTAGCCAACTAGCATTAATTGTGCTGCCGGTTGGGTCGTAAACCATTGAAATATTGCTAACATAGTATATAGAAACCATAAGCGTGTTAATATGTTTGAATAGAGCGGTGTGGATTTACTTAATAACTAAAATACTGAGAAACAAATAAACGCCTAGCTTCTTAGCTACGATGCTAGCTAGTAGGCCACATCGGAAACGTCTCCACGTGAAGCAGCCGCTTAGCCTGTAGCTTAGCCTGCCGACACCACTCACCGTCTTCTTAGCGGCCACCATGTTTGCGGTTTAGTCCGAACTGGCCAACCTGCAAAGAAACAGCAACAAAGGACAAATTTAAGAATTTTAATGTTTGATAACGTCCAGAAAGTGGAATAATTAGGTACCAAGAGCCGGAGCTCGACTTACAGTGAAATCACCCCAATATGGCCTCGGAGAAAAAGGAAGTTGCGTATTTGTTGCGTTGGTTTTTTCTGCTCGGTGTGCGCAAACAGCTGGTGCAAAGACAGATTTTCTGTTCCGCACAGAAAGAAAGACAGACAGACCGAAAGAAAGAAACTTTTATTAAATAAAAAAATAAATCTTTGTAGTCTTTCTATTTGGATTTAACTATCAACATTCACCCATTCAGGGTTTTTTATTATATCAGCAAAGCATTTTCATTTATCGTGACAAGTAGAAGAAATGTGATTAAATTAAGCAATTTGTGGCAATGTTCACATTTTAGGTCCTAATTTAGAAATGTCGAAAGGAATGCACCAAATTACAATAGATTTTTTTTTTTTTGGAAATAAACTGTTTATATGCTATATTGGTTAACTAACAAATCCCTCTGATTTCCTGACTGGCAAATAGAAAACATAAAAATAACTTACAAAAAGAGTACTTTAGTAAGTTAGTTAAATACATTTACTGACATTTCTGATACTTGAGGTAAATATAACACAATACAACGCATTCTGTGGTTAGTCTAAATAGATGGCTCAGAATTGGAAGCTAAATAAAAGCGACCTCAAGGTTCATCACCAATTACAACCCCAAAATCCAAGATGGCTTCCCCACATAGAGTGTGAAAAACAAAAAATTGTTAGAAATAAACTGTTTATAGATAGTTCCCGCACGACATCATGTCTGGTGTGCTGTAACACACTATTGTTATAGTGCAAAAAGCCCGGTTGAAGTTTTATGCTAAAGCGCTCCAGAACCACAATGGTTCAGTGGTGTACAAACAAAACCAATAAAAGAAAAAGGCAAAAATTCCATTACACAGTGAGATTCAGAAGAAGAGAATGTGAATATGTATCAAAAAGTGCTGCTAGCTTATATCTAGAGAATATACAGGCTATCTAATGCGAAAAATTTCTGCTGATCACTTTGTTAACTGTAAGGTCTTTTTTCAAATGCTTAAAATGAGGTGAATGTAGTGTTAAAAAATAAAAACCTAACTCCATGTGAAAAGGGTTAAGTAGAAAAAAATATTGCATATACATACACACATTTCTGTTACATTCTTGTGAAAATGTTCCTCTCATATTACATTTATAATCATTTCAATTTTGAGACAATAAATGGAGAGTAAATGTAAGCAAGTATTAGTTACTCAGCAAAACAAAAATACATGCATTTTGCATTTGTCCAATTTGTACAGAACTAGGTAATTATTAATGATGCATGATCTATTATATATTTGTGATGCATTCCAGCACAAACCACAGCTTACAACAAAAAACTGATTAAAAATAAATAAAAGACTCAGTAATGCAGCTCATAATGCTGTTTCTATGTAACACCATTCGTCAGTATGCTATCAACTAGTGTTGCGCCAATGCCAATTTTTGGCCCCGATAACAATACCCGATACCTGGCTGTGCAGAATTGTCCGATACCGATACCATACAGATACAATATGTTTGAAATTGATGTGTGTGTATATATATATATATATATATATATATATATATATATATATATATATATATATATATATATATATATATATATATATATATATATATATATATATATATATATATATATATATATATATATATATATATATATATATATATATATATATATGTGAAGAACTCCATACTACTTACTAAATAACTACTAAATAATTGCCTTTATGGCTTTGACAAGCTCCTGCCTACCTTTGTGAAGCAGGAAAAAGAATAATACAAAGTGAATCCAGTAGAATTTTTTATTGCCTACCTGGAATGGGTGACAATAGTTGAATAAACTTTTGGCTCTCAAAATGGTTTCGGTGCCCTATTTGTTGGTACTCGCTAATACCGATACCACCATTATAGGGCTGGATCGGGGCCCCGCCCGATACTGGTATCCCTAATAAACACAGTACTTTCTGACCTCTGTTTCTGAAAAAAACTCTTGACATAGAAAATTATGTATTTACTTGTATTTTGGATTTTTGTTAGCTATGGTAGTTATTACAATAATTTCTAAATCATGATGTTTTTCTAACTTGTTTATTTATTTATTTTTTTCTTTCATGTAGTTGTCTATCATAATATAGGGTTTCCAGTATACAGATGGACAGTCATCTAATAATAACCACTTTGGTCAGAGAATGTTCTTGACCTTAAAAAGATAGCTAGTATTTTTGTTAGCAAATAAACATTCAAGCTTTATTCTATGCATATTTGAGATGAATTTTAGCTTGTTAAATCCTTAAAGATGGACAGCTGTTTATTTCCTTAATTTGTTGTTAGCAATATCTGAGTTACAAGACTATTTACAAAATATATAGATTTAAAAAAAAAACTAAACAATTTAATAACATTGGTGCTTGAAGTGGAAGAGATGGTGGTTTAGTTTGTTTTAGGAATGACTTTGCTAAGCCATCCAAATAAACGTGTCTTAGAACAGGTGTGGATAAGTTGTGAATAAATTAGTCCTTAAGATGCTCATTCACACTGGACAGGCTATGAATCCATGATGTTTTTGAATACAGAGCAGAGAAATACCAATTATTTAATGTACATTGCTTATAGTTATCTGTTCATTGAACAGAACAAACCAGTAATGCTACAGATTTCCCTACTTGCAAACACAATAAGGTTAAATTGGACATCACATCATTCAAAGGACTGACCTCAAACTTTTTATGCAAATACTTCATGGCCTGTGTGATCTCTTCCACATTTCTCTGCTAACGTCTCCCTCCTTTTTCGCAGAACCTTTTATGGATGAGATTTTATTTTTATTTCGAAAGTATCATCCATAATTGTTTTGCTTCTGCTCAGTCAGGCATACAGTAGACATTTTTATTAAAGCTGAAAGAGAACAGTAATTTTAATTCAATCAACTACTTCAGATGATTAACTAATATAAATCAACCCATAAATCTCAATAGTTACCAGAATACATTTTTAATCTAGCTACAAGAGTTAATTAAGTTATTAAATATATTCCCAGCCCACGAATGTTCTCACATTTTGTCAAATCATCTTGAAAAAAAATAAACAACAAGATGGCGAACAACAAGATGGAGTCCAACCACAATGGAATTAATTGTCTGGATGAAACAAATTATTTTGATGGTGTATATTTTTCTAAACACCAACAGGTCATAACAAAAAACAGCTTAAATTAAACAAAAATAAAGAGCCTATTTTAAAATGTAAGGAGTAGACAGTAGCAATAATTGCAAAAAAATAAAATAAATCTGACAATAAGTCATTTTTTCTTTAAATAAGTGATTTTTTTTCTTGAATTAAGGATGTAGGTGAGACACTTTGCCAATGGAACAAGACAATTTACATTTAAAATAAGAAAAAACAATTACATTGTCTTATTGCAAGTGCATAATATCTAATTAGCTTATTTTAAGAGTAAAAATACTCATTCCATTGGCAAATCATCCTATTTACCTGCTCAAACTATGGGTAAATACACTTCATTTAGACATTTTTACTTATTTTTAGATCGTTTTTGGAGTAGACGTTAAAAGTTGTCTAAAAATAGCCAGTAGATTTCTAGAACTCTGCAAAAATAACTTAAGTAAGGTAACAAACTCCATGCAGAAAGACTCTGGCACAGGAATCAAACCCAAGACCTTCTTCCTGCAAGGCAACAGTGCTACAAACTGCACCAATAAAAGGAAGGGAAAAACAAACAAATAAACATCTAATAAATCATAAGAAATAATGTTGTCGAGAAATACTTGACAGCACAGTCTGGTCGTCCACAAGAAGCTGTTGATTTATCAATATTTATTCTGGGAATAAATTGAGAAACAAACAGCTCCGCCCCAGAGAACAAGATTCCTCCTGACACCTTCCTTTGGTGCCTCTGATCAAAAATATCTCCTTCCCATTAGTCGGATTAGAAACGGAAAACTTAAAAAGTTTACCTGCATGGCTCATCCACACCGAAGCTTACAAATGGAGCTAAAAAAAACAATAATATCTGTCCGAGAAAGCGAATTATGCGCAATTACGCACCGGAGGAATTTAACCTACAGCTGTGTCTGTGTCTTCAGGCCTCTCCCACCGAGAGGTGTTTTGCATTTCCCGATTAGGACAGCGAGACTACACTTAGGTTCAACGTCATTGTTGCAACTAGAGCCTGTCTGCGCCTAGTGACCGTAAACGTATCCACTCCTCAGTGCGCACAGGGCAGAATGGGATGCTCCACCAGCTCTCAGACTTCTGCGGTAGACACCACTCGACCCAGCTCCAAGCCTGAGGAGAGCAACGGAGCCAGCACCACAGGTGATGAAAGAAAAGACATCTATCCTTGTAGAAAGATTATTAAAGCTTATTAAGACAAAAGGTAGTTTGAGAAGCTTATGTGGCTTTTGTCTTTTAGTTTTAATATATCTAATTAATAGTAAAAAATAACTGTAATCATTAATAACTTAAAAAAACATTTTATGCACATGTATAACCTTTAAATGTTATCCACATCCTCATTTCTATTGCATAGTAAACTTTAGTCAAAGGAATGCTTTGAAAAACACTGTGTGTGTCCCTGGAAATGGCGTCAAGTTAGAAGTTCTCTCCTTTGTCCGTATAAAGTTGCATCATCCATCAAACACTGCAGCAAATTTAGATTAGATATGCAAATTGCTGCCAGTGTTAATTCTCTAGCTGCAGCCGGTGCCTCCTGTGTTCACCTGTGAGCCACATCTCCACAGGGAGAGGATGAGAAAGTTTATTGTCATTAGTTAACAGTGGTTTCTGGCTAGGTCCTCCCAGAGAGTGACACCGGAGCAGATTTGGTGACAGTCTACAGTTTCAGATGGAAATGAACAAGCAGTGGACTTTGTTGTTGTTGCAAGTCAGAAAGGGCTCCTCCAGCCTTGGCGCAAGGAGCCGTTACAGACGTAAAGAAAAACAACCTTTCTGTTTGATCACTTCTGCAGATTGCAGGGAAATTATAAACAAAACCGTGTTCAAATAGAGTATGCATGTAGAATTCACTGAAGGAGCTCAGACGGTAAAAAAGTCAAATATTCACTAAATGGGACCTCTTCTGAGTTAAAGGTACATGGACGTAACAGAATGCCACAAAAGAGGCTGGCAAAGTGTATCTGACCTCCCTATGGAGGCGGCAGTCACAATAAGATATGCTCATAAAAGGTTTTACTTTTACTGTCTCTTGGTTTCAGATTATCAGCTGAAAAACTGTGAACAGTATCACTGTCTTCTTTTTATCAACCTTGAGGTCAGGTCAGATGAAAATATCTCAGGATTTGTTCATATTTTTGCATGCATCTTACTACTTCTGTTAATTCCCCAGAGAGAGAGAGAGAGAGAATTTTTTTTAACCCACTTCCATCTTCAGAAAACACTCCACCCTAATGTCAAATATTTTATTCAAGGCTTCTGATGTGACATATTTCTGCTTTTTATTTGTTGTCTATCAGCTTTGGTTCAGCTAGCTGTCGTATTACTGGAAGCTGAGACTTAAGACTTCTTTGATCCATGCAAATTAAAGCAATGCAAATCATTTCGTCAAAAAGTCTAGAAGGAAGTGATACATGATATGCAGCTGATTGTCCATGGCAGAGTTGACTGTGCTGTTAATGTTCATGAACAACAGTCCTTGTAAACATTAACTTGGGTTTATGTGTGATCAGACCGGCCTTTAAATACATAATTTCACCCTTAATCTAGGTAGTGTAGCAGATATTTGGAGGAGAAAAAAGGTCCAAACAGCTTCTTGATTGATTGAAATACATCACAGCTTTATATATCAGCATCACAACCTGGATGTATATATTTGATTCTTCCTTCTGGTTTTGTATTAATTCAGGCCTGTAACTGGTTCATTGGTAACACAAACATGAAGATCAATCAAGCAACATTACTGCTGCTTTGTCATGCAGACACATGGAGCCTAGGATCCAGTTTGTGTTTGTGCTGGTATGTGGTTACCAAGGTAACACAAGTTCAGCCACTTACCTGTGTTGCTGTGATTTAGGACCTCAGTTTGTTAAAACAGAAAACTTAATTGTTTTTTCTACATTAGGAAATCAATAAATAAAGCTTAAGATTTTCAAATGAACCCTGCATTTTCTAATTAAACTGCAGGTTTTATTATTTTTAGGACAATATAAACATAACTATCATGACATAGGCACTACATTCAAGGCTCTATACTTTGTTAAGTTGGTTTAATATTTAAAGTTGAAAAGTAAATGCTGCTTAATGCAAAGTGGTTTAAGAGGAAAAAGACTATCAGAGGCTACATATAACTGGTTTAGATGAAGGCATTTACTCCTGGATGAACCATTCAAAGCTATATGTCGTTAAAATCTGTGGTGGAACATTAGCTTTTTTAAAGGAGGATGGGTAAAATGTGAGTGTTGCTGGTTAATGCATAGCCTATAAACGATGCAGATGTAATTAGTTGAGAAGGTGGTTTCATTAAATAGACTCAGAGGCCAAAACCCATATTTTATTTGTACAACTTATGTTAGAAAGATGGAAAATCATCTCTCAAAATCCTCAATAAGGAATTATCAGTCACTGTTATGCTCTACTTCCTGTTGGTCTGTCGAACATGTTTAAGTTTGTAGTTGTTTAATAAAAAAGTGTGAAAAAGTTTCAGGGGTATGAAGGCAATCTATCTTTTGAGGAGCTGTTAAATATTCTTTGACTTTGTTTTGCTGTGTCATCCCAAATGTTCCAAACAGGAGCGGCTGGAGAGAATGGAAAAGTAGCTGAAGACAGCGAGACCATCCCGGACCAAACAACGGCTGAAGGCAGTGATGCTAAAGTTGAGAGCGAAGCTGCTGCATCTACAGAAAGCTCTGCTGCAAGCCCCACAGCAGGGGAGGAGTCTCCGCCTTCAGCTGATGCCAAACCAGCAGAAGAAGCTGCAGCAGCAGGTGATGCTTCTGCAGAGACGCCAGCTGCAGACGGCTCTGCTGAAGCACCATCCAGCTCCTCAGAAGCAGCGGCTCCAGAGCAAGGTGGGTTAGACTTATGAAATAGTTACTACATTCTGCTCCAAAAATGCGAGCTAAAATAAGCCCGCTCATTTTTGGATTCATCCACACTTTCTCTTAGTTCTCCCTTCGAATGAAAGATAACTTCTTTCTCTTATGTGCTTTTATGAGCGCAAATTACTTCTGATATGCAAATCTCTACAGAGAGAGAGACAGATGAAACAGAGGAGATTATGGAGGACCATGGATCCATGTGATTCTTTATATTGTAAAACTCGGAAAAAAATTAAATCATTTTCTTCACTGCTTGCCATCAGTGCAAATAGTTACCGGAATACTCAAGATTTTTAATTGGTAAGGAAGTCAAGATGTGCGGACTGTTCCCCCTGCCCAACAGTAACCTCTTTTTAATGCCCTTGTTGAGGAACATAACGTCCCTTCTATCTTTCCCCAGACCAACCTCATTCCCTGAGCATTGTCTGTAACCAGGTAGTATCCAACAACACGCTGGTACAGCTCCAACTTTAATAAACACACCAACGTAGCTGCAGGAATGTGTTTCCAGATCACAACACTAATTATTTTGCAGTAGTTTGCCAAATTTCCCTATTTTTACATACATGTTTTACTTTTAACCATATTGTGAGAGTGGAGATTTTTTAATTTAAGTTTTGTCATTTGGAACTAACCAAACGTGGCTGAAGGGAAAATTTTTCTGAGCAAGGATCTGAAAGCTTTTTAGTGTTGATGAGAATGTGGATGGGAATAAAATTTTAGGGTAATCAAAACAGCCTGTTAGAGACACCAAAAGAGACTGAAGCTGAGGCTCATTTCTCGGTAAGAAAATATACATCCAGATCTTCAGTAGAATGATGGATGTTCACAGATGATCCAAGATGGTAGAACATCTAAAAGTGGCTCTACACAGAACTAAACTTTGAATATGGAAGAGCTGCTTTCTTTTTATAGCTTGTTTTAAATAGTAATTAACCATGTCTATAAAAAACAAAACAAAAACAGAAGCAACTAAATGTCATTCCTTTTCAATTCCAGTTCACAATCAAATACAATTTTATGTTGGTCTGTCACATAAAAAAAGCACACACACATAAAAAAATAGATTTTAATACAGTAAAATGAGGCACTTCTATTCTTTGTCATCTGGCTGCATGTTAATTGCTAAATGCAAAAGAACAAAACCTTATCTGGAAAATAAATATTTTATCATACATCTTAACTGTATGCATTTTATCTTAAATTGCAGATCCAGAGTGAGATACTGAAGCATTTTCCCAGGCTTTAAAGGATATAAAGCGACATTGTAAAGAAACAGATTTGGCTGTGTTAGTTGGATTATTTGGAGTTTTAAAACATTTAAATAAAGCTTAGAGTGTGGGAACATTTCAGGTGAATTGATGGCTCCTCCTGTATCCACCTCTGCTGCTTAAATCATGTTCATACATTGAGGTATATGCCACAGTGCAGTTTATCTGCCTAACAGCTCTGTCAGTGATGCAAATGCAACTCAGGGAAGTAATTTGTTCAGTAAGTCAACCCTTCATTTTTCTTCTTTGCTGAATGCAAAACATCTGTTCTCAGTAAAAACAAAGGTAAGTGAGGTGAAAGCTTTTAAAGTGCAAAAGGTTTTCATTAAAAAATTGATTCTTCTGTCGAAGGAAATATTGATGTTCAGTTTTAAGCTGAGCTTCAAATTTGTTAAGCAGGAGATGGAGATTAAGTTCATCTGCAGGATTATCTCTAAACAAATAATGGGAAACAGAGTGTCCACATATCAGAGATTTCTATTACATAAAGCCAACTCTTTTATCTCTTTAAACAGCATTCCATAATTAAAGGAGAACTTTGAAAGATCCCGGACAACTATCTGAACCATGTTATAGGATGACAGAAAAGGTGGACTCCTCAGAGGCAAATCCTAAATAATTTAAGAGTGGTTTAAAACTTTTGCTCCACCCCCACAAATGTATTGAGCTAAAGTAGCTAACAAAATGCTTTCCCCAGCTCTCACTTGATCCTACCCCCTCCTCCTTTGGTGTCCAACTTGACTGGTCGTGGGATCTGGCTTCACCGCAGGCCTGTTCAGTTCTTCTGCTTGCAGCATATGTCAGTTTTCAATACTTTGTCCTCAGTGCGGTCCCATTCATTTGCAATTTGAGTCCACGGAGAAACCGGAGCACGTTACAGGGCTTCCACCATGTTGGGCTTTTCACAGCCAAAGCAAAGAGATGATGGTGTCACAGCTCATTGGTTTCTAAGCCTGTAGGAGGAAGATTTTAGGACTCATTTTTTAAATTTTTTTTGTTGATTTATTACTAAAAGTCCAAAACAGCCTATAGCTGTAATTATAGTTGCAGTTTTTTGCAAATATCCAACATTCAGGATATTGCTTTATAACTGAGCCCTGCTTGTATGTTCTATGTTCTCTAAGAAACCTATGAGGCCATTTCAGCATTATTTAATTATTAAAAGAGGTACAGTTTACTTGCATTGGGTCAGTTTGTTGTTTTGGGTTTAATTTAGGGAAATCAATGGAAAGGAGGCTGCATTAAATGTTGATAAAACAATTTTTAGCATTTGCTTCACAATAACGCCCTAATACATCAGATTACCCAAGAAAGCATAAAAGGTTTTAATATTAGCATGACAAAAATGCTAAAAAGGCACTAGTACAGTTCATCCACATATTGTCTTAAAATAGGAGTGTTAAAAGTCTAGCAGACCTAAATCAAAAATTGTTTTTGTCATACTAACACAAAATAAGTTAGCTTTCTTTTTAATTTCAGGCTTCACAGAACTACAAACAGCAGGCAACTTTTACTCAAAAGTACAACTGGGTTAAACCCACTAAAATACACCAAATGCTGTCACAGAAACAGTGCCTTTTGTATTGTTTTAGCTGCTGAAAATGGAAAATCATCCCAGTTTAGTAGGAAACTCCTATTTTTCCCACCTCTGCTATAAAAAATAAATCCCTACCTTAAAGAAAAAATGACACTTTATCTAATTAAAATATCCAGGGTCAGTTTATTCTAAAGCAGGTTGAAATAAAACATCCATAACTACTTCTTTTACATCTTTCTAAGTTTAAGCTGTTTTTTTTTTCTGATGCACATGCATCATCATCCTGACAGTTTTGAACCAGTTTGCAAAAACATAAAGCCTAAAACCGTCCTCCCTGATTTGGAAAAACGTTTTTAAATCTTTGATCAAAGTAAAGACATCTAGACAAAGGACTGTCGGTATTCATGGTCTGACTTCATGCTCTTGGTAAAGAATATTCTTTTTTCTCCACAGCGACAGATTCAGAGCCCCAACCAGAGGAGCCCCCAGGTGAGCAACACTATTTTATTACTACTTATTTACATAATGATACAGGAAGCAGTAGAGGAGCACCTTTCTAACACACCGTCTGTGTTTCCAGCACCCAGCGAGTGAAGCAAGCCGTGCCTGATGACTTCTTGCTGGAAGAGTCGCTCCCCATCTGTACGCATGAGTGAAAGTATGTCTGAGTGGGAGTCTGAGTGTGTGTGTGGAAAAATATTGCCTTGTTGCCAAGATGCTGACCCTAATGATGACCAATTTCATTTAGGGTTTTTCTGTCACCATTGTGCCTTTTTCTCCCCTTTTTTGATGCTAAATCACAGTTTTTACTGTAAATAGATAGAAACATATAATCATTGGAAAGAAATCAAGATTATTCATTCAAATCCATATTTATTATCTGTATAGAAAGATATTTAAATTGAATTTAGGGTAAGAATATATTCATTTCTTTTTTTACAAACAATATTCTGAGACAGTCTAGTTCAATTTATCAATTAACTAATACATTTAATTTGATTTACTGTAGTAAATAGAAAGGTCCTGCAGTAACAAGCGCTGCCCTGATCTATTAAATAAGAATATTCCTATGTGTCATGGTGATGAAAGCCTGAAATCTACTTTGTAATATCACATAAATCCAAAATTGGCAAAAAAAATGACACCCATCACGAGTTTTTCTTTGAATCAACCTCTTTATTAGTTGCTTCTGTTAATGATTTTATATGTAAAAATGACACCACCAGAAGAAACCCAAGAATCAGTCTTAAGATGATCTCAGTGGTAGTGGTGTATATCAGACTGAAGCAGTTTAAAGCCATGGTTACACTCCTCCTACAGGCTTCAGGGGTTTCTGATCTTGTTAGGCTTTTGAAAGAACCGGCTGCAGTTTGACCTGGAGACCTACAACTTGTTTGAGACTTGGTCGGCTTGTCAGGAGTCAGAAAGCGGGCCGAGGACGGCGACCGCCTCGATTTCAACCAGTGCGCCCTGCAGAGACAAGACCAATCAGGATACCAAGGATACGAACATTTCTAATAAAAAGAAATTATGTTTTCATCAAATACGCAGATTCATTAAAATGATATTGTTATTGCTATAGCTGCCCTCAGGATCTGGAATTGCCCAACAACTGATAAAGCATTTTTTTATTTGGCAGGTTTACTGTTTCAACAACAAAATTGGAAACTGCACACACTGACTATGTAATATTAAAGAGTTTCTCCGAAATTCTGAAGTCTTCTTCCACAGGAAGCATATAATATACGGTACTCTAAAATATACCAGAAAGTGGAGAGAAAATGCATTTTTTCCCCATTTCAATTAGACTGCAACGTTCAAAATATATTTTGTTTTAAAATATCCAGTTTAAAATAATCTTTTTGGACGAGTTTCACACCGTTAAAGACATGTTTACATTGCTCCTGTGTGTTTTTAATAGAAATAATGCTATTCATATATCCATAAAATTCAGTTAGAGAAGGATTTGATTGTTCTAACCAAAGATGCATCAATATTGAAAGAAATTTTTATTGTCTTGTATCAAATCATTTATTTAGTAATTCATTATTTCTCAGTAAAATATTTAAAACCCTAAAAAAAAAAAATAGTTTGATACCTGCTTTAAATGGACACAAAATAGATAAATAAAATAGGGATATAATAATCCAAAAAACAATGCATTGGTTCCTCTTTTGATAAATGTAGGATCAAGATGGTGTTTCTAATTGATTTCAATGAGACAATTTAGGCTAATTTTTAAATGAAGTTATTCTGCAAAAGATAGAATAAAATATTTTCAGTTTGTTGATGCAGAAAGATTAGGGTTGGGAATTGAAAAGATTTTCACGATTCCGATTCCCTTTTCGATTCTATGAAACGATTCGATTCTTTATCGATTCTTTTTTCGATTCCAATTTGGGGGGAAAAGGAGAACAAACAGTTTGATTATCAGAATCAACTTTGTTTACTTAACTATTGCACAATCTTACAAAATCAACAAGATCAAGATGTCCACAGGAAATGTGAAACTGGAGTAACATCTGTGTTTAAATGAAAAATGAATACAAGAACAAACTTAATAACAAACAATGTCTAATAACAAATGATGGGATAATAACCTATTTTAAATAACAAAAAGTACTAATTATAAAACAGTAGTAGGGAAAATTAACAGTTCTTTTGCAGAAAGATGAGCATATCTGCTTTTTCTGGAAGGATATGGGATCTTTCAGGGCTTAAGGTGTCTCCAGCCGTGGAGAACACCCTCTCAGATGGGGTGGAGGAAGCCTGCACACAGAGGTAGTTTTCAGCCAGTCCAGATAGCAAGGGCAGCGTATCTTGCTTGTTCCACCACCACAGTGTGGCGCTATCCCTGCAGGGGATGGAGGGCAAGCTTTTATAGAGCTGGATTTCCTGATCTACCCTCTGGGCTAAGGAAAGACGGGGCTTTGATTCACAAAGTGACCGCAGCTCGTTGTCTTCCTCCTCGAATAGTTCTTCCAACTTGCGTAACTTGCGTAAGTTGCGTAAGTTGCGTAACGTACGTAAAAAACGTGACGTAAGTCGTGCTCCCCAGAGCCGGCGCGCTAGGCTCTGTTGCTGCGGGAATCGAAAAAAGAATCGTTCAGCGAGCTGCCAAACGATGCCATGGAATCGAAAAATACGGAACCGGTTCTTAACAGGAACCGGTTTTCGATTCCCATCCCTAAGAAAGATGCTATAATTTGATGGAAAATATTAAAATGAATGACACCAAATGTCTCTTAAAGGTTAAATTAACTAAAAACCAAATTTGGTCAATACTCACTCTAGGCAGAGCAGCCACCTGATAAGCAGCCCTGGCTGGAAAGTTGGAGCTAAAAACTGTCAGAAAAAGAGGTGAAATGAGAGGTTATGTTTAAAGATGTGTCATCCTAGAAAAAAAAAACCAAAACAGTTATTTTGTGGAATTTCCAGCAAATAATTTATTGAAGCCAAAAATAAATCAACACATCAGACTCTAGTTTTTTTTTTTTTTTTTTTTTTTTTGCTTCACTGTGAAGTGAGAAATGGGCAGTTTGGCTGCTGCACAACACTAGATAAAGGCTGTTACACATTCCTGCTCTATAGGAGGGAGAAGCTGAAATACATCTCCAGCCTCAATTCATTATAAAGGGCGTCACTCCAATATACATTTTTTACTGCCTCTGCAGAATTTTTATTGGTTTCTTGTAATATATCAGTGAAAGCAGCGGGGATAATATAAACTCCTGGGTAAAATGTTTAAACCAACAACAAGTAATCTATTTCTTCTTCCAGTGTGATGCATAAAGGGTTTCTGAATGAAAAGTTCTCTGTATTTTCTGATAGTCTTTGGTTACCTTAACTTGTGGTTATTTCTGTTCAGCAGTTGCCCCTATTAATGGTTAATAATGGAAAAGAAAAAAAAAACAATAACAAAAGCCCTAAACATAAAAAAGCAGATTTGTTAAAAACAGTTAGCGTCTGGCTCATTGAAAGTCAAATGTCAAAACATGTGGAATGACCCAAGACATGCACTAATTACAATTCTTAAATATTTTTGCTTTGGCTTTCGAATGACTGAGGACTCATATTTCTTATCCTCTCAGTAGGTTCAGAGAAAGTTTCTCTGCAGGGTTGAATGGCATCTTCAGGAGGCCGTTGCTCAGGTGCACAGAGGCAGTGTTCTGAGAAGCAGTGCTTGCTGGGAAAGGTTGGGTTACATCAGCGTGCTAATGTAATGGTGTCCACTTACAACTCTGCGGACTCTACAGGTTCCATTACACCAGACTGTTGTAATCCAGGAGGAAAAGCCCAAACACGTTCAATGCACTGATAAAGCAGAATAAGAGCTCAGCAAGGCAGTATGCAGGATCAGCTCCTCACTCTCTTTTTTCTTTAGACCTTTTTAATGAATTTGATATAGAAAGTTTGCAGTCATGTTCTTTTCTGCATTGGAAGATTAAGGCAGAAAACAAGCGGACATGTCGACCCAGTCCTGATAACATTTTTGAGTTTGGATTAACTGTTCCTTCCTCTTAACACGTGACCCAGGTTCTGGTGTCCAGGAAAGCAGGTAAAACCAGCCTAGCAAACAGCATTCCTTTTGTGGATATTCATAATAACTTCATAATGACACTAAACAATAAATATTCTTCCCAAGTTCCACTGAAAATAAAAAAAATAAATGCACATTTTTGCTTGTTTATTTTGTCCAATTCTGTGTGACTGATATGTCCATGGTGTACCAATAGTTCATCCAGTGTCCACTGGAGAAAAGCATCCCAAACCAGGACAAGCTGGTATGGAGGATGTATGGATGTATGCACCACTGACACCTTAGGATGTACTAGAAATAGTCATTTGTTATTAGGGGTATTATAATAAACATAAAATAATAATAAATGAGAGGAAAGATGTTAGATGGGATGAAGTCTAATTTGTATCATAAACATTATTTTTCTTTGTAAGTTATAGCTGACAATAAATAAAATCCAGCCTGCCGCGGTTTCGGATGCAGGGCACTTCTCACCACTTCTCACTATTGCCCCCTTGTGGCGCATCCCGGGTAATACATAAGCCTTTAGCTGATAATAAATACAAACATAATTTGATTAACTTCCCCAATAATTCTACCAAATTAAAAATGGTATAGAGAGTAAAGTTACTTTGTGATTGAAATACTACTACCACCCCAGCTTAATTTTCACAGAACGAAAACATTTCGACTACGTCATTTTTTTCCCATAATACATTGCACCCGCTCAGTATAGGATTATGTTCATTATACTTTGCTTTTAATCCAATTTCTTTTTGTTTAAGACATAGCAATCGTCACTCAAGTATAAAGTAGATAGGAACTGTTGTTTCAGTGGAATACTAGAACTGATTTGGCTCCGGCCGATAAACCGTTAGTTAAAAAGCTATATCATGGATTCAAAGTGTCTTCTGCCCGGTGTATAAAACAGATACTCTTGTTTCTCTTCAGATCGTATAAATCTTTCGCCTTTTACTAAAGATTTCCGTGGAGAGGAACAACAAGAGTTTTACCCAATTTTTTGATGCCCTGCTAACAGCGGGGCGTTCTAAATTGTTAAAGAAAAGAATATAACACAACCTTAATCCCGTAAAGGACAAAGGCTTGATCCTTCCAATAGTATTTGAAAATTGATCTTATTGGATATGATTATCTCCGCCATGTTATGCTAGAAGTAAAAATGTGCAAAACAGGATTATAAACAGTGAAAGTACTCGGTGCACAGTGTGATAACCCGTAAACGGCCACTAGATGTCCTGCTAGCAATAGGATGCAGAACTCCAGAGTTCAAATTCACTAAAGCTGAATTCAGAAATTCTAGGATAACACATAATCCCAGGCCTAAACTAGCGTGATAAATGCACCCTCCCTTCATCTGCTCCATAAAGGCCAAGCAAGGGTCCAAAGGTGCAGCCATAGGTGAAGCTTTCAATCCAGGTGTAACTAATCGATCTAAGAGACCTTGAGGTCGATCACAGATTAATGGATTCAGCAAACAATGGTGGCTGGACTAAATGCTTTAAGAGCCTAAAATCCATATTTCTTTATTTCCTAACCACTTCGCTCAGGAGCAAACGTGCTTATTTAAGCAAGCTCATTTAACACACTAATTTACCTTGCTTTTTGTAAGGCTGAATTCTACACAGGTTATCATAAATTACAACAATATACCAAAGCTGAGTAGCAAAACAGACAGCTACATTTTGTGTTTCAGAGGGTACGTACTATATATCAATTAAATAGTTCATCTATGTGGAAATTCTACAGATACATCACAGAACTGAAGAAATACAACAGTAACTAAACATTTACCTTTTTCTAACTTTTGTGCACCATAGAAATAACCTTATATCAATAAAAAGAGATGAAATTAAAGAGCATACTAAAATATGTGAACCATAGCTTTGTTTGTTATTTAAAGCAATGTAATTAGGCATATTCCGGGTATGTACGCAAATAGAAATAGTACATTTCAATTTTAATTGATCCCCAACTCAAAGCTTTTAAGATAACAGAGTAAAGTGTTAGACAGGAGATGGAATTATTGTTCCTTATGTTGGGATCTAAATGGTCCATTAGTATTTAAAAAATGGCTTACATGTCTTGTAGATGTCGTTGACAGAGTTGAAGTCATTTATATCTTTCAGCAGCACAGTGGTCTTCACCACTAAAGTGAAACGCATTTAGGTTCACGATCAAAACAATCAATAAAAGTAAGAAGCAGGAACTGAATAATGACTTCTCACCGTTAGTGTAGTCACAGCCTGCTGCTTTAAGGATTTCTCCCATGTTACTCAGAGCCTGAATAAAATAGAGAGAAGGAAGACTGAAAAGGGCTTAAGGAGTATGTAAGAGTAGATTGTGAAACCTTGGGTCAAGTTTGAAGGGAAGGTTAAATGAGTGCTTATTAGTGTTCAGGAAAAGTTCACCTGTTTAGTCTGAGCCTGCACTCCTCCATCCACCAGCTGACCAGAGGCCACATTCATCCCAATCTGACCAGAGATGTACATGGTCCTGTCCACCACCACCGCTTGGCTGAGAGGAACGCACAAACACAGATTTGTAAAATATGTGACCAACATCAACACTTAAAGAGTGAACAGATCAGGGAGAAAAAAGCGGATCAGCACCAGAGCCTCATGGTCTATCTACACTGTTCCAACAGGAAAATGAACAAGCAAAACATCCATATTTTCTAAATAAAGATTAACTATACTTTCCTACAGCCTTTGCTAACAAATAGACGCATATATTTAAACATCCATAATCTGGGGTGTAAATCAATCATCATTGTCATTACTTACCTACTTGTATCAATAAACATTCAGCATAACATTGATATTGACAAGCACCAATATCTACATAAATGGATTATTTGAGAAGTTTTTATTAAAATTGTTATTTATCTTTAATTTCACTGAAGACTCCTAGATGACTTGCAGAGACACATCATTTTCTCTTTACCCCATAAAACACAACATCTAGCTCTGAAAAGAGCATGAATTCTGTACTACATCAAAGATGATCATCTTTGATGTTAGTATATTGATGTAATTGTATAAACAATTATATTGTTATAATTGTATATATATTGTATAATCAACCACAAAAAATAAAATGTTTTGAATATTCTACTTGAGAGTATTACAGCTGCCACCATCTGTATTAGAGGGGGGGGGGGAATGGTAGTGGTGGCTGCAAGGTTGGCCAATGATTGGCTAAGGCCCTTAGCCACCCATCTAGCTCCGCTCCTGATAGGATGAAGAAAACCCCCTCCTATAGTAATGTTTAGCCATTACGTAGACCCTACATTTATGACCTTATGAAACTAATAATTTTAATAATAATTTTTAACTGGTTTCATTCATTTTAAGCTCAATTAAAACAATGTATGAAAGGGTTCATATTCAGTAAATACTTGCAAATATATAGTTATTAATTATAAAACTATGCTTTGATTCAAGCAGTAACAAGATGTTTTCTTGGGTGAGTTTGGGTGACATGTTCAAATCGTTGACAGGGATACTGCTTTAAAAAAAAATATCACGATGTATTATAAAATAACCTACATATTTATGAACAGTTATTGAAACAAATTCACTTTCAATTTTTGTTTATAATGATTTCCCCATACTGTTCAATTAGGCTGCTAGGATCTCCACCCACCACATGAGGGCGCTGTCGCCTCGATGTACAACCAAGCTCTACAGCTAATGTTACCTTTTATATTTCTTCTGCTGTTTTAGATGATAATATACTAAATTACAAAGAAGCTTCCGGTCTTAATTCTGATTAATTGAACTTAAAAATAAAACACAATCACAATCATGCTCCCGTTAACTAGCATCTGTTTGGTCAGATAGGAAACCAAAGACAGCGCCCCCCCTTTTTTTAAACATTACCTAGAAGAAAACAACTGTTCCATTCTTTGTTTTTCAATTAAAGGGCACCAAAGTTTGGTCATAACCTTACCTATAAATCCCCTGTCTCACCGGGGCTGTTGGTGTATAAATGATCTTCCGAGGAATTGCTGCCATATCAAAGCTGTCTGTCCCCCCAATTTATTAAGCTCTGCAGCTGCAAAGTTAAACTGCTGCACTTTGAGCTGCAGGTGAGTTCATTGGACAGAAGGTTCCGCCCCTAAACCAACATGAAGCTAACCTTTTATTCCCTGCAAACTTTCACATATTGCATGAACACAAAGGTGGTGCAGATTTCTAGTTACCTGTAAGGACCGATGGCAGCTGGAGCTGCTGAGGTGTAAACAATCTTTCTGCTAAGTGCAGCCATGTTTCTCTTTTCACTAGATGAGCTGTGTTTGAATGAAATGGTTGTGCAACAGCTTTTAAGAACGCTTTGCCTGTAAATTATACCGTAAACCACTAGTTAGCAGCAACAAATTGCGCTAAGAGAGGGGAAAACCTAATATGAAATGTCATTGCGCTTCTAGAACATATGTTACGGTATCAGAGGTTGCTGTGGCTTTTATATCAGGGGCAAATCTCAAGTTCAATGTTTACTTCAATCACATAGAAGCAATGATCTCAGTAACTTTTATTACACGTTTCCAAAGCATTACAAATAAGATAATAAATTAGAAGGGGTTTAATGCTTACATTCCACTCCACATAAAGTCAAAATGCAAATAAGCAGAAACTGTATTTCAGACAAATTATGGGAAAAGCAGAGTAAGTTTCCTATTTTAAATTGTACATAATTTTAAAGGAGTCCTAAACAAAGCTACATATGCATAGTTGGAAAGACCGATCAAAACAGCTGTTTGGCCCAGGAAGGGTGGCGGAAATTTCCCACTTGATAAAGGTTGTTACAGAAATAGAGTCATTTTCCTGTGCAATTCAAAGCAGAGCAAACTTAAAAAGGTTCAAAATTACTTGATTCTCATTTTTTTTTTTTATGCAGTTATGCTTTACATGATCTAGTACCGATCCAAACAGTTGAACAATTGTCTGCTTAGTGCAGATAAGTCAGTGAAACGCTGTAACAGAGATGTTCACTTAAAATAAGGATATCCACATTCATATGTAACAGAAACCTGGAAAAAATTAAAAAGTGATGGACTTTTACAGTTTTTTTTCAGTCAGGGTCAATGTTGACATTAAGAATGGAGACAATCTCAGGCTGAACAAAAGGCAACCATCAAAGCATAGACAGCAATTATATATGGAATCAAACACTTGAAAACGTTTTTCGTTTTGAAGGTTTAGCTTGAAATTTAGACTGAATGGAATCCAACAGAGTTAAAGAATCCCGTTATTACCAGTTATGCATTATAGGGCCTTAAATGTTCTTTATAGTTTGAGTCATTACATCAGTGAATAAAATTATTAATATCAAATCTTTTATGGCTATGATATTCCATATACATAAAGAAACATGGTAACATCCTGTTAGGTCGCTCCAGGCTATATCACCTAACGGCAAAAGTTGCCAACAGATGATTACAAGCAGAAAACAGGAGAATTTGGATTAATTTTTTAATATTGTGCAACAATAATATTATAAAGTGTGTATCAAAGCTACTGGGTTTTGTGGCTTTCAATGAGCGAGGAAAAAATTTGATTTTGTTTTAAAGGTGATTCATTCCGATCTGTAGCCAATAAATCGATGCATCCCTAATATTGATAATTTAGCATTAGCTCAATTTTCTAAGTGGTGCTACTACTTGTTAGTGCATGAGGGTTAAGAGGAACCCTTATAAACAATGGATGCAACACTGCCTTCTGTCTTAATGGCGGCAGAAGACAAATCTCTGCTGCACTGCAGCTTCCATTTTCTGAGCAATTATTTATTTTATATCCGACTCTTTAAGCACAGAAACCTTATTTTTTTGTAGAAATGGAGCCAAAGGCTTCTGTGCAAACAGGTTCCATGCTTACAAAGTCTTTAAAAATGTTCCTTCACTGACATCAAAATAATAAATACAAAAACAGATGAAGCATTATTGCTGCAGGGAAAGTATGCAAAATGACAAAGAGGGACGTACTGGGTCCATAACCGTTTAGTTTGGGTGCCTTGAAACCATGATTATAAAGCGGAAGATTCTTAGAAAACAAACAACTTCAGAATATTTTTAACCAGCAATAGCTTTACAACAGTCAGGAAAGGTTTTTTGTTTTCATGTCGTCCAACTCTGGCTAAACTTTTTATTTTCATTTTAAATAGTAAATGTGTCACTGTAAGCTAAAAGAATAATGCGTTTGTATTTGACCTAAGAGGCACTAAGATACATGGAGTCTGTTAATGCAGAAGGTGAAAGAAAACCCAAACATCTTAAATGAATTCAAAACCAAAGCATGTGGAGTTCTCATGGTTCAAGTGGAGTATACATAAGCTTAACCACATTGTTTCCTTTACAGCTTCTGTAGTTTTCAGAACAGTCTGTTTACTTTTATTACATCGCTTTTTTAAGGCATTCTCACTGTCAGCATAATTCTGATTGTCTTTGGTCATGGATGAACCTCCACCACAACATCTAATGGAGGTTATTTCCAAACTAGGCTCTGTGTTATATTTACATTAGAAGTAAAAAGACTGAGGTGGGGGAGGGGGAGCACTTCATTAAATCTGCTGCATCCACAGCTGGAGAACTGACTTCCTTACATGCTGACGGTGACTCCCAGTGGACGCTATGAATGACATGGCTGCCAGTTTTCTGAGGAAAGAGGAAATTCCTTTTTAAGATGGCCCCTGGGTCACTTCTCTTTTTTTTTGCCCACAATTCTGAGAAGTGTTTACCAGAAAACAGCAGAGATGACATTTAGGAAGCAGCATCTCACTTCATTTAGTGGTTAGGACAATAGAGAGGATCTAGATAAGAACAACATGGTGGTCTGGTTCTCCTGCTGGCGCAGAAGTTTGTTGCTGGCGTTGGGAAAGGAACAGGTGATTGGAGGGGAGCCCTTAAAAGTTCTGTTGTCTTCGCTTTTTAGCATCCATTGCATCCAGGATGGGTTGCCTCTTGGCAGTGTAGCGCTGCCTGAGCTCCTCAATCTCCCGCTCCATCATGGGATCCAAGGCACTGAGGCGCAGCTGCAGCTCCTCAAAGTCCAGGTTCTTTAACTGAAAACAAAGATTGAGGGAAAAAACTATCAACTTTAATAATTCACAATCCTTTAAAGGACAAATTTTAGTTGAAGAAGTACAAACGCTTGATGTGACAGGAACAAATGGTAATAAAATGGAAAGAAAGATGGAGCAAATGGACTGACAGGCCAGTAATAATTTTATTACCCAAAGGGTAATAAAATTATTACAATCTTTTCCCATTCATACTTATTATGAACATTAAAAAATGCCCTCAATAGTACAGATTTTAGTCTGAAATCTACCCAGACACTCACAAAGTCAAAGTCTCCATCCTGTGGAACCTTCCAGTTATCAGGGAAGACATTTTTGGACTGGATGTGGTAGCCAGGCTGCTCTGGAGGCTGATTGTGGTTGTAGTTCTCCTGCTGCTTATCAAAGTAGTCCATAAAGGAAGGACGTATGGGCTGCTGGGGGGTGGCATTCCCTTGGAATGACAAAAATAAGCACCAGTATAACAACTTAGAAAAACAAAACAACATCTGGGATCAAACTGAGCAATTATTTCTCATGTAAATATAAGGCTGGAGAATAATTAAATATCATTTTATATCACTTTGTAATTGTACTCAACATTGATAGATAGGAGTGTTTAGCTGCTAATCTCCAACGCGGTAAGTTTTGGCTATTCTAGATGACCAGCACAAGACAAAAACTGGCCCTGAAAACATCTCTGAGTGCTCAGAAAGCAACAGCTGGTTACACAGCTTGAAGTTACACTCAGAGCTGAAGAGCTTAGCGCAGCCTTTAAATAGGAGAAGAAGGCAAAAGCTTGTCACCACTGACAGAGAGCCACCCTGTGACATTATGGGAGGGGTGAATTGATTTGTTCTCGTCACAAAGTGTTCATCAAAAGTTTCTGAGAATCAATTTGGGACTTTTAGTCTGCATTTTCAGAGTTAATTATGAGTTATTAGTCATTTTGCTAATAATCAATTCCTATGCTAATATAGCAAAATGTATAGCATACTACTTCAAAATAGGAAAATAAATATAACCATTGGTAAAACAAGCCAATCAGGCACTAATAGTATATACATACATACATACATATACATACATACATACATATACATACATACATACATACATACATATACATACATACATACATATACATACATACATATATATATATATATATATATATATATATATATATATATATATATATATATATAAAACATAGGATAATAAAACTTCCCCATTTGGTGCTGTCCAAATACAATAGCTGGTGGCTTCAGGTGGGGGACAAACTCCGAAAAAAACTAAACTGTAAGCTAAACCCAGAAGACATTTCAGAGGAGTGAAAGAAAAAAACTTCAGGGTGCCTGAACAGCGACGTGTTTTCTGCATAAATAGACAAATTAACTCTTTAGATGGCTATGCATGGTGCTTTGCTAGCCTCGTCTTGTTAGGGAGCGGCTAATAGGGTTAGCAGTGATAAAGTTAAAGCGGTACTTTACTTGCCCCTTACTTTTGCAAAACACTCTACATGTATGTTTTGATGACACAAAATTGATACTAACCAACAATAGTCTTTCTTTTAACTCTAAACAAAGTTTTTAAATGTTTCTCACTCCTGCATGAAACCTTTCATGAATAAAGGATGTGCTCTTACTTCTCATTGACCCCTGGTCTACCTCGTCTTCTTCCTCATCACTATTAATGACCATAGTCCCCAGATCTGACTCCAGCATGGTGCTGCCATGTTCAATCATGGTCTGGGCCCCATCGCTCATGGTACTGGTGGCCCGCATGGTCCCTGCCCCCTCAGAGCCCGACTTCACCATCGTATGCAAGTCCATCTCTGTCTCTTCCTCCTGTTGGAGGAGAAAAAAAAAAAAGAACATACAGCATAGAACCATATAAATATAACCAGGCAGTAAAGACTTAAAACACATACAGAGTTATCCTCCTCCTCCTCCAGCTCTCTCTGCTGCTCCTGCTGCCTCTTGGCTTTCATATCCATGGCTTCAGTTATCAGATCTCTAAGGATTGTGACGGGTTTAGCCTGGCTGATGAA